AGTTTCCATATCACATTCTGTGTTGGGTGAATACAACTCATATATCTGGTTTGCCGGTAGTCTTTAAAACCTACCCACGAAAAAAGTAATTTCGCCAATTACTATAGCAAATATTAGTTTGTTTCATTTCTTGAAATTCCCATTTGCCATGTGACCCAAGGGCACTCGTGGCAATGTGGCGTAGTGGTTAACATGTCGAGCTTACACGCTGCACTGTCATGGTTCGACTCCCGCTTGGGGTATTGATAAGACCTAGGCGAGGTCGAAACTGCATTCCACTCCCGCCGGGATGAGAACACATTCAGGGAAAGCAAAGCTATCTGAAATTCAATGGAAACATTAGCTCTACTCATATCATTGAGTGAAAATTGAACTACTAATCGTTCATTACTTTAAACGAAATAGAGTAAACACAACTCATACATCTGATTTACTGGTAGTCTCGGAAACCTACTCACAATAAAACACAAAACCCTATCATGGAGAATCATGACGCCTGCAATTGTCAACTTCAATAGTCACTTTGGCCATCTTCATTCAGATTGGCGCGTACCGCATCCTGCGGGCTTCACGGCCGCGCCATATGAGCCTGTCCGAGAGACCTGGAGACCAAGTTGATTGATCTGTTTTTCAATCGGTCGTCATGGTAGCCAAGGTAACCGGGTGACTGACCTTAGTCTATTTAACACGGGTCGGTGCATACCAGGGCCTTTAGTGGTCTACTCAGTTGTCCTGATCTGCTTGTGTTTCTCTGTGCGCGTCGCCAGTCTTGCGTCAACCGGTGCCACGAAATCAGGCTTTAGGAGCAACACGAAGTTGCCCGTAAATGTAGGCGGTCTTCTCAAACCTGACGCTGCCCCAAGTCTCCTCTAAAAATGGCAAGAAGTTACCCGGCCGATACGAGAATGCAGAAGGCGCTGGAAGAGCTGTACGAGAAAGAGGACAGAGCCCGTCTGTCCTGGTTTTTGCACTCGCAGGAGAAAGCCATCACCGGCTTCCAGTCGCATCACCGGCCTCGTGGGTCAAGGCCTGCAAACGACCTCATCGGTCGACTCGACAACCCGCAGTCTGAAGGCCCGGAGACGGCAGCGACTTCGAGCAAACAGATGGAACAGAAGAAGCCTGACATTCAAACAGAAATTGTTGCGCCGACAGACAGAGCCCTAGAGACGGATGTAAAAAGCGTGTCGACCAGCGTTAAGCGGCTGCTCTACGAAGGTCTCTCGAAAGAGGGCAAAGGCAGGCAAGTTGCAAACACACTACACCTCCCTTCCTGTACCCACATAAAACCTCATGTGCTAGAAATCACTCCCTATAAGACTTCTCTAGGCAGCTAATTTTCTATTTTCT